AAAAAGAAACTCCATGACTTCTTACCTTCTGTCTTTTCTTCGACCCACATATTTATATGCGTTCTTGCTTCCTCAGGAGCATTTGCAAAGTCAAGTTCTTCCATGTTGGAATGGTAGAATCTCTGACAGGATTCCTTAAAAGACTGAACAATAGGATAAACAATATAACCAGGTATCACAAGTCTAAAACTAAATGTCACCAATGCACAGCCAGGAAATTTTGGACCCCTTCTTCATAAGAGTCATAAACATGTTACAGATCACCACAGATTGACCCCAAATCTTTGTGTTCCACTTGGATGAACTTAAGTCTTTAACCTAAGGATGCTAATGACTTAAAATTAGACATCAGGACTTCTTATACCCCTTTAAGTTTTGTTATCATGAAAAGATCACTTAAAAAGCAGTGATTATGAGGCCCAAAGGAAAACTAATGTGCTAACTTCCTCTAATAAATCAATAAATTGCTGTTCGAAAGTCAATCATATGATTAATCCAGGCACTCATTTTCTATAGGATCACAGGATCATAGATTTAGAACTAGAAGACTTTGGTAGGCATCTAGTCTAACCCTTCCATTTTTATGGAGGAGAAAACTAAGGCCCAGTGAGATGACTTGTCCAGACAGCAATAGCAGATGTGAGATTTGAACTCTAGTAGTGCTGTGCCCACTGAACCAATGCCATTAACTCTTAAAACTTATGGAAAATAATATGGTATGGTGGGGGGTGACCAACTTTTTCAAATAGTTCAAACTGAATTTTTATTAACATGGCAACAGATGAGATATTCCTGCTATATGAGGCCTTCATCTCTCTTAAACTTGGAGATTTCATTGATTTTCTTAATTTAACACAGGGAGAAATAATAGACAAGACTTACTGGGATAAAATCAAAAGTCTTTTCTCCAAAGAGTCGGTTGGCAATTCTTAGCAGGCATTGACTACCAGATTTATTAGCTTCTGCAAGAAAAGACTGGATACTTTGGTGGACATCTGTACCTTTGTTTAAAGAAAGAACCTGTTTAGGAAAAAAATACAGCTTCAGTACTGTCTTGCTTTCTTTAAAAATAAAAACATACTTAACCCCATCTTAGAAAAAGAAATTGAACAAGCCATCAATGAACTCCCTAGGAAAATATCTCCAGGGCCACATGGATTTACAAGCGAATTTTATCAAACATCTAAAGAACAACTGATTCCAATACTATATCGACTATTTGGGAAAATAGGAGAAGGAGTCCTACCAATTTTTTTTTTTTTATGATACAAGTATGGTACTAATACCTAAACTGGGAAGAGTCAAAACAGAGAAAGAAAATTATAGACCAATTTCCCTAATGAATATAGATGCAAAAATTTTAAATAAAATGTTAGCAAAAAGATTGCAGCAACTTATCACAAGAATAATACACTATGACCAGGTAGCATTTATACCAGGAATGCAGGGCTGGTTCAATATTAGGAAAACAAAAACAAAATCCTCAAAAGAAAATCAACTGAAAGTTCTACAGAGGCTGAGGGCATTTAAAAATAAGATTTCAGGATGTCACTCACCTATTCTATAAGCTTCAACAGCCCCCTGTTGCCTTGAGGAACAAATACAAGTCTTCTCTATTCAGCATTTAAAGCCCTTCACAACCTGGTTCCAACCTACCTTTCTAGACTTATTATACATTATTGCATTTTTCAATTCCCTCTGCTCTCCTATACCCCTCCATCCCCCACCACTTAAACTGGTTATTCCTCATAGCAAGGTAAGAAGGTAAGATTATTCTGCATTAGTAACCTCAGGGACATTTCTACCCAGAATGTCTACCGAGCATAGGACAGAATGGTTAGCACCAACATGTTCTATTCCATTTCCCCTCACTCTCTATTGCTACACTATTGAAAAAGCTCTCCTTTTGTGATCAGCTCCTCTGAGGTACAGTTTTGGGGAGATTTAGAAAGTTCCACATTGTTTGTTTGTTTTTATTTTGTTTTGTTTGTTTTTTTCTCAGTCCCACGTACCTGTTGTATCTGTGCAGCAGTATTTCCCTTGGCCCCGTCTAAGACCATAGCCAGGGCACAATAGAGGCTCAGTGGAGAATAAAAAACATTTTGTGAGGTATCTTCTTCATTAATTTTTTTAAAAACATTCAAGGTAAAGGTGTTGGTTGCTTCAGAGAGAGCAGCCATCATAGTATGCCTAGAATAAGAAGACAAAGAAATATACTACATGAATATGAGATACTTCTGTGTGCATTCATCCACTCCACTTTGAATCTAGATCATCTCCAGTGGTCCCTCTTCAATAATAATAATAGAGTGCATTTACATAGCGCTTTCATCTCTGCAAGGTGTTATTATTATCTTCATTTTACAGACAAGAAAACTGAAGCAAAAAGAGGTGAACTGACTTTCCTAGGGTCACACAGTTAGTAAGGGTCTAAGGCTGGATTTGAACTCAGGTCTTCCTGACTCCAAGTTCAGCACTCTAACCCCTGAATCACCTAGCTGCCTCCCTAAATGAACAACATAATAAACAATGGCACTGGACAAAAGCAGATTAAATTCAGCTTGTCTGATTATTATCATTATAACTCATATCCAGAAAGTGCTTCAGTGTTTACAACACTTTCCTATCAATTTCTTGCTCCCCAAATGGAAAGATGACTAATTAATAAGATTTCTTTCTGGTCTCCTAAACAAGCCATCTGCTTCCCTGTTTCCCTGCATGTGCTCCTGATATTTTGACCTGCTGTCTAGAATGCCCTTCATGCCACCTACATGTATCCTACCTTTCTGTCAAAGCTCATTTCAAATGCCATCTCTACCACAAAGCTTCAACAATCACCTTAATCAATAATGGTCTCTACATGAGCTCCTACAACAATTACCTGCAACAATAGTCTGGATCAGTCATCCAGCACTTATGCCAGAATCCTTTGTCTAGTCCTTACTTGTGTATGTATGGCTTATCTAAGACACCTACTTGAAAGGCAAGGGCTGTGTCTTGTCTGGACACATAACCCTTCCCTGTTAGCCCAGTCTATCTCCCTCACCCTGATCTCACGGCAATGATTCCCCAAGGAATTAAGCCACCTGTTGCCTTGAAGATTTGTCATTACCAGCTTCTCAATCCTTAATCTTAGATAACTTTAACCACCCAGTTACTGAATTCCTGCTTCCTAGTTGCTGAGAAAGTGCTGGATAAAGTTACAAAATTGTGCTAATTTCATCCTGAAAAAGAAGGATCTCTGATTTCCTCAGGAAGGTGAATTCCTTCCTTAGTTGATAAGTTCTGTGGTGTCACCTGAACTACAGAGAGGTTAAGTGATTTAGTCAGTCGGTCAATAAACACTTATGAAGTGCCTACAATAAACCCGGAATTGTACTATATGTTGAGGATACAAAAAGAAGCGAAAGATTGTCCCTGACCTCAAGAAGCATACAATTCAACAGGGAGAGAACAGGAAATATACAGAATAAGGAGGAAGTAAATCAGAGAGGGCAGGCACTCCCTCTTTTGGATATTCTCCAGCTATCAATGTTCTTTGTGAGCCATGGTGCCCAGAACTGAACCCAATATTCTAGATGAAGTCTGACAAAGGTCTGAAGGCACTAGAATTAAGAGGGGTTGAGAAAGGCTTCCTGTAGAAGATGGGATTTTATTTAGGACTTAAAGGAAGTCAAGAATGCCAATAGATGAGGTTGAGGTGGGAAAGCATTCCAAGCCTTGGGGACAGACAGAAATATCTCTACTCTAACCCTTCCAACTATGTCCTTAATCCACTCTTTCCTGCCTCCTCTAAGACTTTGCCATATCATTCATTCCTTCTCTTGCACGCATTTTCAAAACCTATTTCTCCCCTGGATCCTTCCTTTCTACCTGCTAATACACTTGGTTCTCCCCAATCTGAAATACACAAAACAACAACATCCCAGAAAATTTTCTTTAACCTTCTACCTCTCAGATTACTCTCAGCTCTATCCTCTCTTTCAATGTGAAGGTCATGAAAAAGACTGCATACTGAATATCACTACTCTCTCATCACTGACTCACTTCTCAACTGTTTAAAAGTTGAACTAAATCACCTCTAGTCTCCTGAAACTGCTTCCCAATTCTCAACTTCCATGCTTGACCTCCTTGCAGTGTGACACAGCTATTCCCTTCTTCTCTACACTGTCTCTTTGCTTGAATTTCATGACATCTCCTACTTCTCTCTTCCTTCTATATCCTCTTTATTACCCCATATTGTAGTCATTCTACAAGATCCTTTCCTATTCTTTTCAGTATCTCCAAGTTCACTCTATGCCCTCTCCGTATTCTCCCCGCACCCCTCCCCCTCAGCAATTTCAATCCCTTTCAGAGATTCAACCCTCATGTCTATAAAGACGACTCAAAGCCCCTGTGAGTCTGCTTTTGACAAGGCCCAGCAGAAGGAATCAAAGGTCTGTCAGAATAGCTGATGGGAGGCCAGAGCTGAAAGGCTATAGACTAAAAAGGTCAGCAACATAGTCTAGTTCTTCCTTAGCGCCAACCAACCAAGGAGGGATGAAATGAAGCATAGTTCCAAACAGGAGGGTGGGAGAAATCTGGCTGGGCCACAAGCCAGGATTCATGAAACCAAAGTGGAAGTCCATGTAACCAGTTTATAGAACCAAAGTGGGAAAAATAAGATCATTAACTAGACAGAGAGAGTAGAGTCAAAACTGAGATAGAATTAGGTTAACACAAATAGAGGGTCAGATAGTCAATAAATATTTAAGTGCCTACTATGTGCCAGAGATGGAGAGAAGGGAGGGTACCTGGTGCAGGGGCATGATGAACTCCTGCAGTCAGGTGGGAAATTCTGAGTTGTTTCCTCTGGGCCTTTCTTAAATATAGGATCTGGGAAGAGGCCTCCTTTGTCCACCTGAAATTGTCCAGAAATGTCCACCTTTTCCAACAGGAAATAAGGGAAAGGTAAGGAATTTATAAAGGACCTACCATGTGCCAGGCACTGTGCTAAGTGCTTCACTAAGATTATCTCCCATGATCCTCACAACTATCCCACAAGGTATGAGCTATTATCATCCCCATTTTACAGTTGAGAAAAATGAAGTAAAGTGATTTTGCTCAGTGTCATACAGTTAGTGTCTGAGTTCAAATTTGAACTCAAGTCTTTCTGATTCCAAACCCAACACTCTATCATACCACCCGACTGCCTCAAACCTCAGCCAGAGGCAGGCAGGGGACCAAAATGCAGAGGCTACTGAAGAAGTATGAGTTTTAGAGCTGATTTGATCTCGTAGAAAGATGAGTTTCTGAAGATCATGATAAAATTCAGGTGAGCAGAGAGTGGAAAAAAATGGTAGCATGGATGCCAAGGCTAACAGCCCTCAGATGAGAGGAGGGGTGCTCAGTGGGCTCAGCCACCTTCAGACTAGTCAGAATGAGGGTTGGGGTGCTACCATGTTCTTTTAAGGGCCAACCCCTTACTCAACCCAGGTTCCAGAGAGCTACAGTACTGAGATGAATGGTGAACATGGCTTCCCAGGATGGCTGAGTGTCCTTCATTCTGGAAGAGGACCACGACATCAGGGAGGTGACGCCATGACAAGCAAGCAAATTGGATTTAAGTGAGGGAGAGCTATGTGAAGTCACCAGCCTCACTTTCTCCTCTGGAGCCATCTGGGTCCAGTGGCCAGATAAGGGATCAGGACAACTGGAGATTGTGGACAGCAAATAACTGTACCAATCTCTGAGGAGGGGTAGGAATTGACTTTTAAAATATGAATTCTGATAAGAGTTCTTGCTTCCTTTGACCTGTAAATAATTTTCTTTCCACCCCCACCCCTTCTTTGAGCTATGTGAGCTGTGTACTTGCAAGAAGTGTTGGTAATGACACAATGGGTTATATAATTGTGTCCCTTTTCAGGGCTGCTGTCCACCTTTGGTGCCCACCTATTCCACCTTTCACCTGTGGCTCCAAGAAACTGTAGCATGCACAGTGGCCACACCCCAGTAAAACATTTCCGCAGATGGGCTAACACAGGTCAAGGGTAACCAAGGGGTCTCAAACCAATTGGTGAGTTAGAGGGGTGTCTACCCCTAAGCATGCAAAGACTTCCCCTGGTGGAATGGGTGGATGAGAACAATTTATTCCAACAGCATGAAGGCAGCTGAAGCAGGTGCTGTGGAGCACTTAGAGCTTGGTTACACATTGAAGACGCCAAGGTTATATACTGCACCTTGAGCCATCATCAGTCTTCTTGATTCAGTCCTGCCACTGGACTGTGATGACTCTGGAGGAGAGAGTGAGGCTGGCAACTTCATGTAACTCTGCCTCATTTAAATCCAATTTACACAAGAATCAAAAGACATCACCCATACCAATTATGTCTCATCATGGAGTGACATTCTCAGGATTTTGGGGTACAGGAAATTCCTAGTCATGTGAGGAATTTTTCCAGTGATGACAGGTTTTTTTGTACTACATGAAAACCTTTGACACAAAGCTTAGAATTTTAGCAGGTACTTGGCAAATAGTTATCAAATGATCATTCACAAAGAATAGTACAAACACACTGCCAGAGCCACACTTGAGAAGTTGGCAGGGACCAGAGATTACCTCTGAAGAACAAAGGGCCAAAAGAAATGAGTTCATGATGGAAAAAAGAAAAGGCAG